TGCTGAACACCAGTCTTCCTCCAGCACTAAGGTACTGAAAGTATGCAGAAAAAAGTTTGTACTGACCGAGTCTTACGATAAAAGTACCACTTTTAACTGTGTGGTAAACATGTAGATGAAGGAATATCGAAGTGATGTGGTGATATTTTTATCACTTATGGGAATGCTGATTCACATCAACAAATCTGTTCCCTTGTTCCTTTTCTGTGAACGCTACATTTAGAGCAGAGGGGATGTTTTCTTGTTTGGCAGCTGCCGCTAGCCCCGCAGAGATAAGCGGAGGTTACAGATCTGACTGTAGTTAAGAAAACATCACCCGTAACTGAAAACACTGCACTTATGATAAAATGCTAGCTGCATTCCCCCCTTACCAAGTGTGGTACTTAACACTTCATATTTTAAAAGGGAGTAAAAAAAAAAAAAAAATACTAGCCTCATGTTGCTGGCTGAAAGCAGCACCCCTAAAGGAGCAAATCCAGGTTACGCAGTATTTGCTTCTAAGGGGACAGAAGAAATGGTGCCTGCATTCCACACGTTCTTCACTGCAGGGACAGCCACAGCAGGAGGTAACTTTCAAGAGTAAATGAGTGCTGAAAACCCTCAGTTAAAAATTCATTTGTAAATAGTTATATGGCTGTTTTGATTAATTACACAGATACTCAATCTGCTTCCATATCAACATGAAATTACACTGTTTATGCCAATGTTGTTTTTTCATCAAAGCAAATTCTCTTTTCCAAACAAGAGTCCTTTGTTCAACAGAACTGTCAATTAAAGCACGTTATGTAATTCAGAAATTAAACTAAATGGGAAATAAAATGTATTTCAGAGGCAACTGTATCAACATAACAAGACCCAGACTGCTGAAAGTGCCTGTAACTGCCCAGAAGTAAATTCTTTAATAGTTATGGGCAGAAAACATAACTAAGCTAAAGACCAGAAGACAATGGACACATTTCTGGGTTTTAACACTTAAGCTGAGACTTGCCCCAGTCCCAGAGTTACCCCAAGGCAGACCCTAGCTTACTGCTGCTGTTGAGAGTAAAAAATGCCTGGGGACTTCACTGCAGGACCACTGGGCTCCAAGCTGTGACAATTTTGGCTCCCTCAACACCTGCTCCTTCACCTGGACTGCAGGACAGATGGAAGGGAGCAAGAGGAACCCCAGAGAACAACCAGTTCTGCTAACCACCTTTGTGAACAATGCAGGAAAACTTTGCAGGCTGCAGGCTCACAGGGTTTGCTCTGAGAGCTCTTGGCTTGTATCTGACTAAACACTGGGCTAGAGAAGAAATGAATGTAAACAAGGTCACACATGCATTTAAACTGACATTTTTGTTTCTACTTAAAACCCACTGTTGTCTTTCCAGGAATGTACAAAACCTAGCCAAGTATTTTCTTAGTATGTACACAGGCCAAATGCCAGACATCATATATTCAACGAAAAGTACATTGAGAATCTAGCAGCACTGATTTTTTTCTCAGATGCTAACATAAAGAATACACAATTTAAAACAAACAAAAAAATTAGAACATATTTCTGTCTTAGCATCTCTTAACAGAAATTCACATACAGAGCTTCCAGAAGGTGAGGCCTTTCAGTAAGTTCTCTTGATATTTTATTTTTTTCCTGGGTAACACTAGTTACAGCATAGTATGAATGAGAATGAATAAAGGCGCCTCCTTCAAGTGCAGTTATGTCCCAATGCACTAATTTTAAATCACAGTTTCTGTGGTTAATGAACTGATGGACATCCCAGCTATTACAGACAAATGTTCTCTGTGTATACATGCCCAGAGAGTGGCATCATAAGATGGTGGCAAACGTGATACAGCAGCTGTAAATGAAAAACAAACACAGTTCAAAAAAACCCAAGTACTCGCAACAGGGATCTGCCACAGTCTTTGGCTGAATTTACCCGAAGAATAGAGGCTGTTTTTTTTTTCTGTCTGTAGAAAATGAAATTAAAAAAAAAAAATGCTCCAAACCAGTGGTAGCTTTACAATTAAAGAAGCGATACCGATAGATCAACAGGACCGATGAGGAAATGAAAATAAGATGCACTACTACTGAACACTCCTTTTCAGATGTAGGAACAGATTATGTACCAAACTCAAAATTGCTGAGCAAGCATTACTAGGACAAAAACTGATGTACTGAAATGGGATTATTCTAGCCATGTTGGATATACCCTGAAAGCTATTAAAATGGTCAATTTCACAGTCTGTTTTTCTGTATTGACACTAGGCAATACAGTGCTTCTAGAAGGGATGGTCATTCCAGCTTATTTTTGTGGCTCAGCTGTGACAATAGGCCTATTTTTGAAAACCTAGGAAGAAAGAAGGCAGGGAGAAAGCATAAAGCAAAAATTCAGTCAAGAGGACATTAGAACTGAAAGTAATCAACTGGCCTGTGGATAGAAACACAACAGGTTTGATATTCACACTAGCCTGTAATACCCAAATACCCAAGAAACCTAAATAGTATGTTGCTACCACATTATCTATATCGCATCTGTAACTCTATCATCTGATGGTGATGGAAACTATTCTAACTTCATATTTAATACTGTCAGCAGAAATAGGAATACAGCTTGTTATTATACAACTGTGTGCAGTTTACTTCATGTATACACACACAGACACTTCCTTTTGGTGAGGTTCTTTGGTCTAAGGTGAAGGCACTCAATCCCTCTGTCTTGCTACAAACCGTCCTTCCAGAAAGTGCAAACTGCACCTCAGTAAAGAGTTTGGCTCTGAAACAATGACCACTCCCTGAGGAAGAATCATCTCTAGATGAAAAAAGTTTCTGAAAATGATGAGACTGGAACTTCTACTGAGAAGCAAGATCAGTAGAGAAAAGATGGGGGGGGGGAGAACCAACAAAAAAACCAAACCAACCACAACCCCAAGGTGATCAAAACAAGATGTGGATAAAAAGAAAGCAGCTGTCTAAAATTACATTGTCTATAGGATGTTGCAGAAGAACAACTATTCTTCTGCAGGAATAGGAGAATAGGGAAGAGTATGCAGATTTCTTTATAGAACATAGAACAAATAACTGAAAATATGACTTCCAGTGCAGACATTTTACTTCAAAGCAGAGCAAGGTAAACGCACCATGGTACTTGGACACACTGGGATACCTGAGCTGATTTAATCCCCTCCTTCAGATGAAGCAGATTTATTGGAAATGGAACCCTTCTTCGGAGTGGGCTACAAATAGTTTAGCAAGGTCTTACTTGAATTCTTCAAGGCTACAAATTCCTCCTTATTCTTTCCCAATGAGTATTTACATTTTTCACACAGAATTGAACAGCTCCATTAGAGGATGATGACCACCACAAATATTTAGCATTGCCATCAGAGGTCATTCAAGAGATTAAAAACAAAAAAAAAGACTGGCCAACAACACTGCAGGTACAAGAGGAAGATGAACCTCTGGGAGACCTTCCATATTTCTGAAATTTAGTAGCACACTATACTTTAGGTTTTGTCAATCTAAAGTAAATTTTTGGTTTGACTGTAATTAATTATAAATTTGAACCAAATATGATGAACAGTTTTAGGGTGACCAGAGCACTTGGTTTCTTTGTCAGCAATCAACTACCTGCTCTTACTTAATGATGCCATTGCCAGTGAGGAAACCCTCAAAAAAAACCCTATTGATAGGACAAATTATCCTTTCCTGCACTAACTATAACACTGTTGGTTTACATAGGCCAGAAGAAACTGTTACATTACTTCAAAAGTAATGGTGACTTTCAAAACAATCCATTTCAAAAGCAAGATGTTACTTTTCATTCATAGAATGATTTCTTTGAGAATTTACATTCTCCTTTCATTTATGTTCAAAGAGAAACTTAAATCCCAGTTATTTCTTTCCAGTTATACTTTTTATCTGGATTGTGATAGGATTTGCTGCCTTAGAAAATATGTACTTGGCTCTATTCAGGGTTTTATTCTGACATATAATTAAATCAAAATTGGAGGCAACAGATGGCCGAACAGGAACCAGAGTCAAAGATCAGGAATTGATTCTCTGTGTAAGGCAAGGGAAAAAAAGAAAAAAAAAAAAATCCTATTGAGTTTCAGGGTTCAGCACACATAGCAGAACTCTTGAATTGTTTGGCATTTGCACAAAAAAAATTCTCATATAGCAAGAGGTGAAAGTCTTTCTGTTCTACTCCAACAGCCACATTAGAGAGCCCAGATAAAACATTCCTTGACACAGTCAAAACTTGGCTTTCTGCTGAAGCATAAACACGACGATGTTTAACCTAGTCCTTGAATCAGATGACTGGAGTGCACCACATAAAGCTCTGGCGTGGTTCAAGGACGCTGCTGAAGCGCAGCGACGCTGGGTGCCTGCTGCCCTGGGCAAACACCTCCCCTTCCCACCGCTCGCTGTGCAAGGCTCAAGGACTGTTCCAGCACCAACGCGCTGCAGAGCCCTTTGCCTTCAGTCCACTCCAACTCCCCTTCTACATTTTCTTTCCCCTTAACATGCACCCATGTCAAAAGAAATTACCCTTTGTTTTCACTCAAAGAACAGTTTCTGATTGTCCCCACACATATGGAACACTTCAAGATCAAAACTGTCTGCAAACGATGGATTTCATTTTCTCCCAGTATAAATACTAAGGGTTTTCTTCCTGCTTCTGAACTACAAAAAATAGTAATAAAAATTAAATATATTGTAGTTACTGATGAGAATTGTCTAAACAGCCAGATTAGTTATAAACAGTTAGTGATGACAGACTACCGCATGTTAAGCCATTATCATGCCAGAAAATGTTATAATCACCTTAATTATAGCAACAGTGATTTCTCCCCCTCACTGGCAATGTAATGCAAGAATGTGCAACTTCTATTTTGTAGTACTATCATCTATAGCAAAGGAGAGCATATGCACATACTGTCAAGGATTTGTGCAAGCAGATCAAGTTGCCAAGTATGCAGCTAAATGGTCTCAAAAGAAGGAAAGAAGGAAAGCTTACCATGTGTGTTTTGTTGAAATATTTTGTTCAGATCCAAAGAGGAAGCTCTGGAATGGGATTTCTGTGGTCTCGGAGGTGGAGTAGGGGGCTCTTCTCCCTTTTTCATGGCATCATCTATGGATGTGCTAGAATAAGACCTAGGGAAAAACAGGGGGGGGGAGAGAAGCAGAAAATATTTTATTTCAAAATTCCGTTTTAAACAACTACAGTGAATAGTACTTAAAAATACACTGACAGAAACTCAGATTCATGGTGGAAATTCCTTACCCTAAGGACTAGAAGTTCCCTCTTAAAACAAGACATTTATTTAGCAACAGAGGAACCTGTGTGTCTATAGAAAGGAACGAGTCATTCTTGCAGAGATAGTAGTATTTTTTTTAAGGCCTTTTATATCACAGCTTCAGGTCACCTTCCTTATGCAATTTTAACTGTGAACAGGGTAACTGTAGCAAGTATTTTGAATAAACCCGAGTAAAACCCTCCCTGGCTCCTTACAGTTTCTGTTGCCTCTCCCAGCTGCAAGGGTAGTGTTTATACAGGTATAGCTTCAACCTACCTCTTGCAAGTACACATTTTGTAATTTATAATACTCTAACTATTAGAATAAGTTTTTCAAAGAGTCACCAAATTCCACAAAGTCCAGAAAAACTGAATAGCTCCAAAGTGACCAAACTGGTGAAATGTATGCCTCAGTACATCTTTCCAGGCCCTTCCACACCACATTAAGCCCAGTGCGGTGCATTTATTAAGAATTTTGATTTTGCTGAATAGCGTCCAATACTTTTCAGCTGTTGTAGTTACCAGTTTTTCTCCAAGAGCTTTGTTCAAAATGAGCACTGACAATGTGAGATGTTACACTTACTGTAACACATTATGCATGACAGGCAAGACCAAAAACACATTCGAGTAGAACAGAAATAACTCCCACTAATGGGAAATGGATCCTTTTTTGCCAAACAGGCTGTTGTTAGAAAACAGCTCTTTAGTGAGACAGACATTTGGCAATGCTGATACGTTTCTGATGTAAACTTTAATAAATACAGGAGAGAAAGCCAAAATTGCTTCAAAATTTAAATGTCACAAAAACTTCTACTGATGCTTAAATTTTGTCTTGGTAGAGTTTTGAATTCCATAGCCTTTTAATATATCAGACTAACCCAATCCCCCTTGAAATAAAGAGGAAAGCTTTGAATCAGATTATTAAGGTTTTGTAGTCTTTACATATTATACAGTGTTTATTTTACCTGCATTAAAAGTGCTCACCCTAACAGTTTTGAGATTTTAATTTTAGTTTTTAAAGCTCAAGTAAGATACCAGCTACCAGCCAAAAATATGCCAGAGCTGAGAGCTGTAACAGTTTTGAATTGTGGCCTTTGGTGGTTGGTCACACCTAAAGACAGAGACCCTTGAAGTTATAGAGCCCTCCAGGCTACACAGGACAAGCACAGCAGGAGGTCTGAGCTCAAGGATCTGCTCAGGAACCTTTAGTCACAACTGCACTGAAGTAGTGACATATACCCAGGCGTAAGAGCCACATGCGAGACAGTAGTCACAGTCAAGTGACTTTTTTCAAACTTGTTTAAGCATTTGGTATTTTATGCATTTTTGCATAAAATACTTCTTACACGTTTTTCCATATTTGCAATTTATGACTCAGTAACACAGCAAGAAAATTTAAAACAGTGTGAAAACTTAAAAGCTTTGGCTAGCAGCAGAAAAACAGCAC